AGGTCCAGGTGGAGTTTTCCTGGGCCCCAGGGCATGGTGGCGAGGGACCCAGGCAGGGGAGTCTGTGGGCTCTGGGGAGGGACAAGAAAGCTGCCTCAGTGACCCCCTTCGTCCCACCTGTGGATCTGGCAGTGAAGTCCTGGTGGGGAAGTTTCTCCCACCAGCTTTCTTTTTGCCAGAATGGTGCCCCTTCTGCCAGTTGGGGGCGAGGCTGCAGCTCCTTTGCCCTGGGGTAGGATGGAGTGGGAGGCGTTTTCTCTGGAAGGGAGCCCCTGACTGCTTTGCAACTCCAGTTTACTGGCCAGGCGCTCTGTTCCACCTTGCTCCGGAAGCACTTTGTATCTGTTCATCATTTAATCCTAATCCTCTGAATAAAATGGTGGGGTTCCCAATGGGCAACAAGGAAACTGAGGCAGAAGAGAAGTGAAGCAGTCTGCTGGGCAGTTCTGAGTCTTGCAAGTCAGAATTCCCTGTGCAAGAAGTAGCAGCCAGAGTCTGCGGAGCCTGAGATGAGAGACTGGAGCAGCCTGGGTCCTCCTCTCACACATGCACACTTGCACCGCCCTGGATGGACCTTTATCTCATGGCTCTTGGCGCCCGTCCAGCTGCAGCCTCTGGTCTTGACAGTCCTTATCACATAGTGAGACGTGGCCAGGTTTGTGAAGGAGCCTTGAGTTGTTTCTCCACTGTACGTGGGGGTGGAAGGATTTGGTTAATTTTCTTTAACTCATTGTTGTGCCACGTGTCAGCCTGGCTCGCCAGGGTGTGGCCTGGGGAACAAGCTCCCCCTCCCCTATGCCTGTGGGCTGGGAACCTGAGGGGTTCAGCTGCCACCTGTGCTCTGGAATGCAGATGGGCTGGCCCCTCAGGCCCCACCTTCTTGGATGGCAGACCTAAGGATTATTCTAGTTTAATAGCTGGGGCCCAGGGAAGGATCTCACCCTCCTGGTCCAGCCCCCATGTACTGTAGCTGCCCAGCCACCTGCATTGGGGTTTCTTCCCAACCTAAAGTCACTGCTGCCTGATCTATTGCAGCTGCAGGGTTGAGACAGGGGCACCCAGGGGTGCTTTGTTTGCAGAGAGGGTACTGAATGGGAGGATGTGCATTGGTTGTGGTCTCCAGGGCCCTGTGAGCTGCTTGAGTCACATCTCCAAATGACAGTTCAGGCACAGTCCCAGGGTCTTGGCACCCATGCCACCTCACGCTCTTTCTAAGCAGCCTGCTCCATCCTTCCAGCTCAGCCAGGTTCTCTAGGAATTGAAACTACTGCACAGGGCCTGGGGGCTCCCAGGTCTTCCCCAGCTCTCTGGAAAATTGCTGGCTTGAGGTTGCCTGTGGTTTCTCTTCAGTGGCAGGCGGCTGTCGGGTCAATGGTGCCCTCTAGTGGACAGCGACAGGCAGTCTGCACCTCTGCACCCCTTCCTTACCAGGGCCACCTCTGTGGCCTTTGTCCCTGGCTTGCTGGGGACTTTGGCCTCAGCCTCTAGAGAGCCCCCCCCCCCCCCATGTAGCATGGGCTCTCCCAGGGACTCTTGCTGTCCCTGTCTGAATGCCAGTGCCTGGGCCTGGGTCAGCTAGCCCAGAAAGGCACCAAGTCTGCGGAGTGCAGAAAGGGGATGGGAGGGCCAGGGGGAGCTTCCTCCCATAGGGTGACTTGGGTCTGAGGGTGGAGCCAGAACCTTAACGGAGTGATGTGAAGAAGTTTGAGGGCTTCCTTTGCTCGAATGAGGGCTCACTCCTGGATTCTTCCAGGCAGAGTATCTGGAATCTGACCTCCTGGCAGGTGGGAACGGAGGATTGTTCCTGGTTTGCAGGGTACAAGTGAATACATTTTTCTCTGAAGAGGGGCACCTTCCTTGGGGGGTACAACAGAGGGAATCTCTGCTCCTGGGGTATTTTGAGCAAGGTGAAAGGCCATTGCTGTATCTGAAAACTGGGGGAACCGGATGGAATAGAGCCCTCCCTGCTCGTGGACTCCTTTGTATAACCCTGGGCTGGGTGTACTTGGCCAGGGGAGGAGTTTGTCAGCTTGCGGGGAGACTTTGGCCCTTAACCATTGTGCAGCCTGTGGGGAAACAGCAGGTGTTTGCAGCCGTCGGAGTCTGAAGCAGAGCTCGGAGCCTGCTCCTGGGCTGCCTCCCGTGTCCCTGGCTCTCTTCCTTGAGGAGTTTGCGAGAAGGTGTTTCGGGGGATAGTGTCACCAAAACACGTCCCAGTCACCAGGCAAGGATGAAGAAGGGTAGGGAGACACTGTAGCTTCTGTAGGTATTTGTTGGGGTTCTTCTCTCTCTCTGACAACAGTTTGTGGAAAACTGGGGGGAAAGTAGTGTGTCTTATCCCTAACAGCTACCCATGCTATGCTTGTTAACTTTATTGCTTTACTTTTCTCCTCAAGGTTGTCCTTTTCATGTCTAGCCTAGAATCCACCCAGAAAGATTTAGGAGGAAAACTCAGGCTTTGGATCCTACCCTGTCCTCTTTGGAGGAAGATCTTTTTCTGGATTTTTGTTTGTTTGTTTTTAGGATTGATTTATTTATTTCTTTGAAAGAGTTACAGAGGAGAGGAGAGGCAGAGAGAGAGTGAGCAAGAGTGTGAGAGCGAGTGATATATTCTTCCATCTGCTGTTTCACTCCCTAAATGGCTGCAATAGTCATGCCTCGGCCAGGCTGAAGCCAGGAGCCAGGAGCTTCTTCCAGGTCTCCCACATGGGTGCAGGGACCCAAGGATCTGAGCCATGTTCCACTGCTTTCCCAGGCACGTTAGTAGGGAGCTGGATAGGAAATGGAGCAGCTGGGATGCTGGCATAGCTGGCAGCAGCTTTTACCTGCTATGCCACAGTGCTAGCCCCAGTAAATTAAAAATTAAAAAACAAATTGCAGTCATAAAATAGAATCCAGTCTGTCAGCCAATCAGCCAAACTTGGACTCGCACATGGGTGAGGGCGGAGGTTGTCCGATGGAGTGGGCAGGGAAGATTAACCATTTGTCTCACTGAATGTTGGTAGCCAGAGAGGCCTGAGCTCAGAGCCCAGCTTGGTTACTGCAGCTGGCCTTGGCTGTGGGGAAGGACTCTGAATCTGAGTTTTACTGTCTGTCTGGTATTCTAAGGAGGCATGCAGTAGTGCAGGGGAAGCTCGCAGTACCTGGTAGGCATTCGGGCTTAGCTGCTGCTCCTGCCATCCCTTCCAGAATTGCGCTAGTTGCCTGCTTTGGGGGGCATTTCCTGTGGTTTTTCCCAGCTGGCTCTACCCAGAGTGGAGAAGAGGGCACCTCGCCCCTGCTGGGCTGGGCCCGGAGGGAAAAGGGAAGCTGTGTGAAACCAAGCAGCAGGTGTGGCCCTGCAAGGGCCACTGGGATTGGCTGTGGACACTGGTTCCTTTTCCGCAGTTACCTAGACACATATCAACTCCCTCTGGTTCCTGTTTGCTGGAGGCAGGAAGCCAGACCTCCGCCACAGGACCTGGAGTGGGAGGGTGCTGCAGGAAGCGACCTTCCTCGGAAGTCAGGAATTTCCTTGGAAGTCAGACCGGGACCTTGGGTTCCAGAGATCAGAACAGGCTTTCCCTCTGACCATCTGACCAGGAGCCTGGGGTAGGTGTGGAGGCCTGGCGGGAGGGATCAGGGCAGGCAGCTGGGAGAAGGTCTGGCCCCGTGAATGGAGGCCTGGGTGGGGGCTTTGCCTCCCTCTTCCTTCCAGGGAGTGAGGGTGTGGGCCATGAGGAAGGATCCGACCAGCAGCTTTAAGGCTTGCACCTCCAACATTCAAGAAGTTGAACTTTTAAAATACAGGATCACCTTTGGGACACAATAGCCTCTTGCAGGCTGGGTTTTGGGGGTTCGGGGCTTTTAAGGAGACAGAAGTCCTGCCACTCACTGGCTTTGCTACCTGGGGCAAGTCCCCTTCCTCTCCAAGCCCACCTTCCTCTTCTCTAAAGGGTGGGTCACAGTTAGGATGCACTGAGACCACGTATGCAACGCGCTTCGTATGATGCCTTGAATGGTACTAAACATAGCCATCCTCTTTGGATGATTACGATCCCAAAGGCCAGGACATCGTGGGGAGCTGCGAGTGAGCAAGTTTGGGAGCATGGCAGGAATGAGGGCGTGGCATCTGGGGCCAGGCTGTCAGCGCTGTAGTTCTGTTGAGGGTCCCAGGAAGGGAGGGGGGAGGGGTCAATGGTTCCACCCGGGCCCTCTGGCTGTACCCATCTAGGGAAACTCCGGGCCCCTACTTGGCTGCTGGCTGCCTGGGTAATGGAAGCTTACACTCGAGGGCCAGTTCCGTTCCCTTGCTGCTGTTAAAAGCAGAATAGGAGCCTACGAGCCTGTGGGGCCGGGCTGCTTGCCAGGCTGCAGCAGAAACAGCGAGCAGAGCAGTCTTGCCCCTGGCCACTATGCCAGCCATATTCCAGCCCCTACCTCCCCACACACCTCACTCCATAGCCTGGAACCTAGCAAAGAGCCCGCAGCCTCGGGTTGTGCTCCCACCTGCTCAGGATGGCAGGTCCCACCCCAGGTGTTCCCTCCGGTCCCAGGGCTGAGAAAGTGTGAATTCTTGGAAGCTAAGTAAGGGCCTGGCACTGCCCGTCCCCTCCCCATGACGTGGGGCCCCTCCCTCCCACTCTCTCCTCCGTGCCCTGAGGAGTCAGAGTTCCAGGCAGGCATTTCTCACTCACGCCAGCCAGCTGCACAGCCGTGTCGGGAGGGAGCAGGGGGCCAGGCGCCTGCCACCCGGAGGTAGGCAAGTTCCAAGGGGCAGCCCAGAGGTAAGCCTCCCAGCGCCTCCTGTCTTGGGCTGCAGAGAAGAGGTCAGCTTTGGGAGCCATTCTTGTCGGGGCTGGGCTGGGCTGGCAGTTTCCTGTCCTGAGGCCGGTCATTTCTCTCCTGGGTGGGGCAGGTGCTCAGAAGACATTAACTCCTGTGGCGCGGGCAGGCGGGGCACTGCCAGCAGAGTTCCCAGGATCCTCGGCTCTTACCTGCTTCCTGTGCTTTCTCTGCAGACGCCCTGCTAGCAGACTTGGAGTCTACCACCTCCCACATCTCCAAACGGCCTGTGTTCCTGTCCGAGGAGCCCCCTTACTCCTACCCAACTGGAAACCATACCTACCAGGAGATTGCTGTGCCGCCCCCTGTCCCCCCACCCCCGTCCAGCGAGGCCCTCAATGGTGCAGTCCTTGACCCCTTAGACCAGTGGCAGCCCAGCGGCTCCCGATTCATCCACCAGCAGGTAAGGTGGGGCCAGGGGCCAGGAAGCCTCCTGGGGTCTGGGGGCAACAGGAGTTTGTTTGGCAAGGGTGTGGGGTGCCCATGGAGGAGTAGGATCAGCACCAGGCTGTCGCCAACCAGATGCTGCTCTTCCCACCCACCACGTGAAGGGGGCAGTGACCAAGTATTAATCACCAGTATCCCAGTCAGACTGTGGAAATTCCCTGGTGAGACTGCTGAGAGCAGGAGCTTCCTGGGAGTGACTCGGGCTGCTCCTGTCCCCTCTGAGCATTCTTGTTCCTGCAGCCGCCATCCCCATCGCCCGTGTACGGCTCCAGTGCCAAAACTTCTGGTGCCTCCAACCCCCAGGACGGCGTTGGTTCCCCGTGTTCTCGAGTAGGTGAAGAGGAACACGTCTACAGGTACAGCCTCAGCCCCTCCCCAGCACCTCTCCTCCGGCTCTGGAACTCAGGTCCCTGGCCAGTGCTGGCCTCCCAGGGTTTTGCCTCCAGGGCATTGGTTAAACCCGCAGATGGCCTTAAGGCTCCTGGCCAGCTCATGCGCCTGTTGCCTGGCCTGTCTACCTTGTCACTGCCATCTCTGTGTCCTGCCCAGGCAGGAACTGGAGTAGTGGAGGAACTGGAGCAAGACTTCCTTCCTCCTCTCTTCTTACCACATCCCTTCCCTATCCTCTGTCCTCTTGGTGGGGGAGACTTTACTTCCTCCCTTATTCTCCTTGAGAATTTGGGGACCTTCAAGCCAGTGCAAGGCCACGGTGTATCTGTCACTGTCTTGTCTTTGCTTCCCAAAGCTTCCCCAACAAGCAGAAGTCGGCTGAGCCTTCACCCACTGTGATGAGCTCCTCCTTGGGCAGCAACCTTTCTGAACTTGACCGCTTGCTGCTGGAACTGAATGCTGTGCAGCATAACCCCCCAGGCTTTCCTGCAGGTAGGACTGGGGCCCCGGGGCAGGGGTCTGTCAGACCCTACAGCCCACCTGTTAGCTTCTGTATCCCCAGAGGGCTCTGGGACTAAGTGGTCTTTTTCTTTCTCTCTCCTCAAGATGAGACCAACTCCAGCCCTCCATTGCCCGGGGCCCTGAGTCCCCACTATGGCATCCCGGAGAACAACAGCCCTCTGGGGGGCAAAGCCGGGCCGATGACAAAGGAAAAACCTAAACGGAATGGGAACCGGGGCCTGGAGGATGTGAGGCCCAGTGTGGAGAGCCTCTTGGATGAACTGGAGAGCTCCGTGCCCAGCCCCGTGTGAGTGTTCATGGGGCTCTGCCCAGCCTGGGGAGGGGAGGGTCTTGCCTTGACAGTCCATGGCCTCCAGTGTCCATCATCTTAGCCCTGCTGTCACCCATTCCTGCAAATGCCTATCTTTTAGTATAGAAGTATATAGTGTAGTATAGTATAGATCCACACAGACACCATCCCTGCCTTCAGCCAGCCACTGTCAGTTGGAAAAAGACAGACCTGGTTGCCGATAACTCATTGGTGGTTAGCACAGCCTTTGGAGCCATGTAATGGTGTTCAAATCTTGACTCTGCCAAACTCTAAAGTCTTAGTTATGGGGTCTGGGGAAATGGGATTATGGGGATAAGACCATCTTCCCAGTAGGGGTGAGACTACATCACATGGAAAGAGCTTGGTTTCTGGCTCATGGCACCCGGTGCACACGCAGTGCTTAGTGAAGTCCAGCTCTCACTGGAGCTGTTGTGTTGCTGTAACAGTCTCACACCTGCACGCAACGTGGAGGAGGACACACATAGGGTGCTTGGGCTGTTTGACAGGTGAGCTCTCACCTGGGCCAGGAGGCCGGAGGAGGATTCCTGGGAAAGGGGCCATTGAAACCTCTGTCCTTTCTCCCAAGTCAGCTCTTCTTGGGGTGCTGGCCCCTTGGCTTACAGCCCCTTCCCAGTGATGAGTCTCCAGGGAAGATTAGGCAGCGTGGGCTTCCCCAGGGTTGGAGGCAGCAGGACCCCAGTGCCCGAGCTCAGGTGTTGGGCTGAGCTCCTGTGAAGCCTGTGGCTGGGCTCGGTCCCTCACTGATGCCATGCCTGCCCTGCAGCCCTGCCATCACTGTGAACCAGGGGGAGATGAGCAGCCCGCAGCGAGTCACGTCCAGCCAGCAGCAGACACGCATCTCGGCCTCCTCTGCCACCAGGGAGCTGGACGAGCTGATGGCCTCCTTGTCGGATTTTAAGGTGCCAAGTGGACCCCTCCACCTTCCTGCCCTAAACTGCCCTCCCCCCAATCTTCTCCCTTACCTCAGGATGAGAGTGCCTCAGTGTTCAGGTGCCTCGTCCCTGAGCCGGGGCCCCTGCAATGCCCTGGCCTTGCCAGGATTCCAGGATGCAGGGCAGGGAGGCCAGGCCAGTCTGTGTGTGTTGTTGGGGGGGGGGGGGGGGTTGGAGTGGCTGTGAGTGGCTGTGGCCGACAGTGAAGGCAGAGAAGCACTCAGCTGGGACATTCCTTCCTCCCTATGCACTCCCAGGCACCCAGGTCCAGGGGATCAGGAGGCTGGGATTCTGGACAAAGGGCCCTGTTGTTGGTGGCTGTTTGGTGGGGGAGGGTGTGCTCTGCTAGGCCATGGGAGCCCGTGTCTGAGAGGTCACTGGCCCTAGAGTCCCATCTCCTCCCACGCTGGCCGCTGGCCGTCTTCAACACATCTTTCTTTCTGCCTCTGGCCTCCCTCACTAGATTGCCTCCAGCCTTTCTCCCTCTTCCTCAGCATTCCCACAGGCGCACTGTGTGGGAAACCTAACCGGTCAGGCCACTCAGTGGGCCAGCCCTGCCTGAGGTGCCCCTTCCCCCCGCCTTGCGGGCCTTTCTGGGCCTGCCAGGCTGTGATGTTTTATTTAGAGCATGTGGAGCCTTGGTGGGGATTGATATTGACAGGCCTCTCCTGCAGTTGCTGACTCTACCCTTCCACGTGGTCAGCTGGAGACTCTGAGGCACGACCTGGGGAACATGAGAAAGGCAGCGAGCAGCGGTGCATTCTCGGCCCTGATGCCTCCCTTCGGCTTGGGGTTCACGGTGGGCGGGACAGTGGCTGAGAGTAGGAGGTGGAGCCTGGGCTCACGACCTTAGTGCTGAGGCTCCAGCTCTAAGCCAGCGGTTCTGGGCAGCCGCAGTCAGAAGCAAGTAAATTGGATTTAGGCATTGGCCTAGGGCTGTAAAGGCTATAGCTGCTTTCTGGATTATTATTATTTTTTTAAGATTTATTTATTTGAAAAACAGTGACAAAGGGACACACAGAGATCTTCCATCCACTAGTTCATTCCCCAAATGGCTGCAATGGCTGGGGTAGCTGGGGACCCAGAACTCCATCCAGATCTCCCACGTGGGTTACAGAGGCCCAAGTACTTGGACCATCTTCTTCTGCTTTCCTTGTCTCATTAGGAGGGAGCTGGGTAGGAAGTGGAGCAGCCGGAACTTGAACTGTTACACTCTTGTCCACCTCACCTTAGGCTCTTCTCCCTTACCTACCGAGAGCGCCCGCAAGTGTGGCTTAGTGGCTGCTTTCTGTTACTTGGGTTTCATGAGGCCCATGGATGGGAAGCCCAGAAAGGCCTCTTTTGGGGTCTGGCTGTTCTTCAGGGGTCAGTCCCCAGGCTTCAGCTTTGCAGCCACCTGGGTCAGTGTAAATGGTGGCTCTCAGAGCCTAAGGCCGAGCCCGCCCCTTGCTGGGAACATCCTGCCTCACTTCTCCCCCTTTCTCTCTCCTCGCCCCTCTGCCTTTGTCTTCCTCTTCCTGCAGACCAGCTCCTCCACTGTGGCCCTGAGCTCCCTGGGGCCCAGCTCAGCTCCGTCCTCACACCATACCCTTCCCCCTACTCCTTCTCCTCTTCCTGTGCCATCTGCCTCCAGATCCTCCTTCCCAGGCCAGGACCACACCCAGGAGGTCCTCTGCACTGAGCAACACGGTCGGGGCCATCTGCCTTCTGGGGCTCCCAGCTGGCTTGATTTGGCTGGCCTTGGGGTAACTCCTGATTCCCCCAACTCAAGGCCTCCCTCTGCAGAGGGATCCCTGGGGCCGTTTGGTGCCGAGAGCCAAGTTCGAGTCAGGAGGGACCTATTGAAACCCACACATGAGCTCTGTGGGGCTCTGTCCTGCCACACTCCACCCACTGCTAGGAGTGCAGATTCCCTGGAGTTTGGAGACCCCCGGGGGCCACTGGCTAACCCTGTGTGTCCAGAGAAGGCCATGGATGCCAGTGGGGTGTGGCCATGGGCTTTGGAGATGTCTAGGCCCAAGACCACCCGCGGAGCTGCTTGCAGCTTCCAGGAAGTAACTGAGCCAGCTGTTGTGGCCATGGACCGACAGGCCATCTTCCCAGACACCTGGAGTCTCACAGAGGAGTGTGGCCAACAGAAGCAGAGGGTGAGGACACAACCCAGGGGGCTGGGGAGCAGCTGCCCTCCCCCTGTCGACGAGGAGCAGTTGGGTGGCAAGGTGCCCAAGTGGGTAAGCCTGGTTGGACCATCCCAGGAACCTGAGACCCCAAGGATCCCAAAGGGCACCACTGGAGAGACTGCTGAGGCCAGGAAGGATCAATCGGAGCTTCCACACGCCACGGTCCTGGGCACACCCAGCGCCACGGGGAGGATTTCCACCTCTGGCCAGGCAGGCGCCAGCTCGCACAGCTGCTAGGCATGGCCCCGTGCGGGTTGAGTGTAGGCCACTCCTTGCTAACTGCATGCAGCCTCTCACTCCGCCCACGTCTGCTTGGACAGAAAATGCTCCGATAACCATGGCCTGCAACCCTGATGACCAGCACTTGGCAGTGGTTCCTCTGGGGCCCGCAGAGCTCCCTGGACCCTAGTGTTCTCTCTGTGACCACCCATCTCCTGCTTCTTGAAGCCTTTTCCCTCGAGATGAGCTGCCTAGCACAGTCTGTGTGTGAAATGAATGGTTCAAAGCATGGATTTTGGAACCAGACACAAGCCACACCTCCAGCACTTGCTACCTGTGTGATCTTGGAGAACCTTCCCAGCCTCAGTTTTCCCATCTTTAAACTGGGGTAGTAATGGCCCATTTTCCTCCAAGGTTGTCTAGAAGATTAAATGAGATGATTTTCTGGAAAATTTTTAGGGCACAGCACTTGGCTCCTCAGTAAGCCACATCTGATGTTATTGCTTGGTTTTTGCTTGATCAAAACTTTATGCCTTTAACATAAGCAAAGCAACAGAAAAGAAAAAACAGTGTGAACAAGTAGGTTATAATACAAGCAAGGGAGAATTCTGTTGTCCTGTCTAGAGCACCTACCTATTATCCTCTGTGGTAATTCTTGGAATAACCTTGTGAGGAAAGCCAAGAAGATAACTGTTACCCCATTTTACAGATGCAGAAGCTGAGACCCCTGGAAGTTAAGTTTCCTGGGGCTGGGAGCTGACTTGGCGATGAATGCTGGGCCAGAGGTATCTCTTGTAGCCTGAGCTCCTGGGCCAGTTTGGCCGCTCTCTGCCTCCACCTGCTCAGCTTAGCTCTTCCTTGCCCTTCTCCCTTGGTGCCTGAGTGTGGGCTGAGCAGCGCTGTGCCCAAGCCCAGAGTGGGACTGTGACAGCTTCCCTTCCCCCCCAGATCCGTTCTGTGATCAGGAGGAGCCGGGAGACAGGCCACGCACACCCCATGTCCCGGGAGCCTTCCCCTCGCCGCCGGCTGGACCCTGCGACCCTGAGCAGGACCCCATCCCAGGAGCGTCTCATCGCAGAGCTGCAGGGTCGGCTGGGCATCCAGCCGGAGGCAGAGGAGGCAGCAGGGGCCCCCGCCCAGGACTGGCTGACTGAGGGCATCGTCATCACCGTGCAGCCACGCGGGAGGCAGGCTGGGGGGCAGCTTGTAGAGAAGGTAGCCAGGAGATGCTGAGGGCTAGACCAGGCTGGGGCGGCAGTGTTCCCCAGCCCCAGTGCTGGCTGGAAGGGACACTGGGGGTGACTAGGGCGGGCTCCTGCATCATGCGGCCTTGTACGGTGGTGCGAGAGTGGGAAGGGCCAGGGAGAGCCTGGGGACGTCACCTTTCTGCCCCCTGTGCTCGCCGAGCTGCTTCCCTCTTCCTCATCTCTCCCTTCTTTCTCCTTCCTAGGTTGTCTTCCCTCCTGGCTCTCCCATCCCCCTGAGAAGAACCACCTCTGTCCTGGCTTCTCCTCCTTCTGTCCCTTTGCACCAGCATCACCAAGACACCTCGGCCTGCAGCTCTTCTCCCCTGCCCAGCCTGCCTCCTCCTTCCCCTCTGGGGCTCTCCGCCTGTACCTATGGTTCTCCTGGGGTCCAGAGTGCAAGGGCAGAGCCCCAGGGCGATGTGCAGGGCCCCAGCCCCCCCACGCCTGCACCTCACAGTGTGAGGTCCGTGGGCTGCCAGACCGATGAGGACCCGCTCTTCCCCCCGATGCAGGCAGGCCTCCCGGGGTCCCCAGCTCCAGGTGTACCTGTTTGTCCCTTGTCCTGATGCCTGGGCTATGCCCCCACTCAATGTACACACACAGAAACACACACACAGACATTGTCTCTGAGCCCACAGCCCTGATGAAGTAGCCAGAGTCCCTTAGGACTTGACCCTGGACCCCATTGAATCTGATGTCCAGGCCCCAGCCCTTGGGAATCCAGCTGCCCCCTTGCTTTAGTGGGGCCTCCCCTCTGCCTGCCCTTCCCCCACTGTCTGGGACCTGCGTCAGGCTGTCATCTGAGAGGCTCCCAGAAAGGAAATCAGAAACTCACGCTCTCCCCTGGCAGCCCAGTACTTGCTGACTTTACTGACTCCACTCACCTCCCCTTCTGGGGGTCCCAGGCCTGCGGTGGGCTTTACCTCCCTCCCTGACTGCATCTCGCCCTGGGTTGGTCGGTCTGTCTGTCTGTCTGTCTGTCTGTCTGTCTCTCTCTCTCTCTCTCTCTCTCGGGGCTGTTTCACTCTAGATCTTTCCTCCTGGTTTTAGTTCTGCCAGTGGGGGAAACATCTTCTTACCTATCCTGAATCCCCTCGTGTGCAACAGCCCAATGACAAGGTCCTGTTCTTTCCTGTTTAATTAAATTTCTTCTTATCTCCTCCCCTATCTAAGATCCAAGGCCTGGAACAAAGAGTGGACGGAGAGCTGTGCTGGGCGGCCAGTTGGCCTCCGAACGGCCGGCAGAGCAGTCCGGAAGGGCAAGACGAGGGAGGGGTCAGTGACAGGGCTGGGCACTCAGTTTTCTGCTTGTTGTATTCCCCTGGACGGTGCAGCCTGGTGCCATCAGCCCTTTGACTTCTGGGAGCCCCCCAACCATTAGGATGCCCTGCCAATGTCATTCCTGCCTTAAGGGAAGGCTCTCCAGTCCCCCAGAGTCAAGTCCTTTTTGCTATAGTCACTCATCTGGTAAACGAAATGGGCTACCCCAAGCCTCAGAAGTCCTGACTTGTCCCTGTTTCCACAGTTCATGGCCCAGGGAAAGACGGGGAGCAGCTCACCCCCTGGGGGACCCCCAAAGCCCGGGAGCCAGCTGGACAGCATGCTGGGGAGCCTGCAGTCTGACTTGAACAAGCTGGGCGTTGCCACAGTTGCCAAAGGGGTCTGCGGGGCCTGCAAGAAGCCTATTGCCGGGCAGGTGATGACGGGGAGAGAAAGAGGAGGGAGTGGGCAGTAGGCCGGGGACTTTTGCCCCTCTGGGTGGTGGGCTCCGTGGTAGGCCACAGCCCTAAGCCACCTTCTGTCTTCCTCCTCAGGTTGTGACCGCCATGGGGAAGACGTGGCACCCCGAGCACTTCGTCTGCACTCACTGCCAGGAGGAGATCGGATCCCGGAACTTCTTTGAGCGGGACGGACAGCCCTACTGTGAAAAGGACTATCACAACCTCTTCTCCCCACGCTGCTACTACTGCAACGGGCCCATCCTGGATGTGAGTGCCCGCCCTGCAGCACCCAGGGACAGCGGTGGCATCCGTAGTGCAGGCCCTGCTCCCACACTGGCTCTTCCATCTGCGTGGTAGCTCTCGGAGGGTGCAGGTGCTGCCTTGGGAGGCTTGAAGCGGTCATGTCCCATGCCGAAGTCTCACTGCCGGGAAGCAGCGGGTTGGGAGTCAGAGGGCCCGGTCCACAGATAGATGGAGTCAAATGCTGGCTGTCTCACCCTCCTGCTGTGTGATGTTAGGGAAGTGCCAGCCTCTCTGAGCCCGTGTTCCTTCTCTTAGAAAACTGGAGTCACATGGAACCTATGCTCTCGACCCCATGTGAAGAGTAAAGGCGAGAGAGTCTAGCATGTTGTATCCTCCAGTGAATCTGAGGGTTTCATGATATGCATAGCTGTTGGGAGAGGCCCTGGTCTTGAGAGTGCTTTTCTCTTTCCTTGGCTGTGAGCCTGGGGAGGGGTGGGGAGGACAGCCTGCCTGTGAGTCTTGGCCATGACCCCACACTTTGCTTTCACAGAAAGTGGTGACAGCCCTTGACCGGACGTGGCACCCTGAGCACTTCTTCTGTGCCCAGTGTGGAGCTTTCTTTGGTCCTGAAGGTACTGACCGGTGGGCTGACTCAAGCTCCTGGGGGCGGGCTGGGAGGCAGGGCTGGGAGGCCCTGCTGAGGTTGTAGGCCCTCACTCTGCCCCTGAACTCCCTTTGCTCAGGGTTCCACGAGAAAGACGGCAAGGCCTACTGCCGGAAGGATTACTTCGACATGTTTGCGCCCAAGTGCGGCGGCTGCGCCCGGGCCATCCTGGAGAACTACATCTCGGCCCTCAACACCCTGTGGCACCCCGAGTGCTTTGTGTGCCGGGTAAGGAGCCTCCTCTGCGTCTGGGTTGGGGGAGGGCTGGAGCAGTCAGTGCGGGAGAAGCGTCTCCCTTGTGGTACTCTTCGCGTCCAGTGTGGAGGCCCCCGAGAGGTGACCAGCAGGAGGTACATTCCCCAAGTCCAGCAGGTCCTGAGCAGGGCTCGTACTGATGCTGAGACAGACTAGGAGCCAGGCAGACATGTCATCTGTCGTAGTCCAGTGCCGAGGGCCTGGGCCCGAGTGTGAGTCGTGTGAGACAGCGTAGGTATTGGGCAGGCAGTTTGCAAAGTGCATCTTGGTGGGCAGTGAAGCCCACAGACTCTGCAGCGGGCTCTCTGGACTGGGTTCGCTGGGGAAACACTGTTCCGTGCGGGACTTCTCAGAACTTTTTAGTCCTAAACATGGATGCAAATCTCCAAGTGCAAATCTAGCAGCGGGAGCTGAGTACAGACCCTTGTTTTCAGTGTCAGGGATTCCGGGAGCACTGTCACAGCCACCTGGGTAGGTGCCCAGAAGTCAGACTCACATGTGAGCCCAGGCTGTGCAGTTCAGGAGCCGGGTGACCCAGGGCAACCTCACTGGTACGCCTCAGTTGCCATCTGTGTTGGAAGAACTAAATGAGCACATAGCACAGCACTCGGCACCCAGGGGCTGATTAGCAAGTGGGAGTCACTGCGAGTGGGACAGCCAGGACCGTCTCTTGCCCCTGTCCTGCCGGCCAGGGCCCCAGCCAGGATGGACAGCCCCTGAGCCCCCGCCCCTGTCTTCTGCCTGGCAGGAGTGCTTCACGCCGTTTGTCAACGGCAGCTTCTTTGAGCACGACGGGCAGCCGTACTGTGAGGTGCACTACCACGAGCGGCGCGGCTCGCTGTGCTCCGGCTGCCAGAAGCCCATCACGGGCCGCTGCATCACCGCCATGGCCAAGAAGTTCCACCCCGAGCACTTCGTCTGTGCCTTCTGCCTCAAGCAGCTCAACAAGGGCACCTTCAAGGAGCAGAACGACAAGCCCTACTGTCAGAACTGCTTCCTCAAGCTCTTCTGCTAGGCCCGCCTGGCCATCGCCCCCAGCCCAGCATCCCCGACTGCTACTGTGACCCAGAGACCTCGCCCAGGGGTGAGGGGCGAACGACCGTGACTGGAACTGGAACGCTCATCCTCAGCTGGGGCAGGATGGGAGGAGCCAGGAGGGCGCCTGCCTGCCTCTCCTTGCCCCTGCCGGGACCTCTGGGCCTCCTTCTTCCTCCTGTGGAGCTCCCCAGGTGCCCACCCTGCACCCCTCCCGGAGGTGGAGGTTGGGGCCCATCCTACACCACATGCCGTCCCCATGGACCGGCCTGGCTAGGCCAGCACCCCACACTGGAGCCATCTCTTACTTGTATTTTGGTAGTGGAGTTGGAGCAGGGGGTGGCAGGCAGGGTCAGATGGGGCATCTCTTTATCCTTGTCTGCCCCTCACCCCAACCTGACTATCCTGGTGAGAGTGTTGGGGGATCCCCAGCTCTCTCCAGACAATGCCAGCATCGATCCATCCCTCCAGGGCTGGAAGCGCCCACGGAGCCACGGGAGGTTCCTCGTGTCCTTCCCGCCCTTCTGTCTCCCCAGGCCGGGGTGACTGCTCCCCACCTCCCTGTGCCCTTTTGTAACTGCTCTGGTCCTACTGAGAAAGGCCTGTCCAGCAATAATAACATTTTATAGCCACTCCCTCTGTCCTGGGACGGCCGGCGTGAGGTGGGAGCACCGGCAGTCCTGGACACTGTATCTGCCGACTTTGATAGATTTCTACACTGAGGTTTGAATTCTTAATCTCCCGAGTTGCTTTTACTTCTCTATACAAAATGATTTTGAAGAGATTTTAAAGATGTTCCCTTTTGTAGTCTCCTCCTTGTCCACCGCCACTGGGCCCGTCGGCACCGGGGCTCTGGATTGGGAGTTTGCTTTGTACTGAGGGCTTGGGGTGGGGAAGCAGTTTGTATTTTATTTTTTCTTAGCACAAGCAGGTGAACTTGGGAGCAGCTCTGCACCTCCCCTTCTTTGCCTTCACAGCTCACCAGGACTGTTTTATAAACTGCTGTATTTTGAAACCCTTTCTGTAACTGCCCGGGCCAGTGAGCTCTTGGCTAAAGCTGGCCTCAGGGTGCCTGGCCCTTTGGGACCTGAACTTCTGAACCTCATCTGTCCTATTCCTGGGGGAAGGGAAGGGAGGCACACCCTGGTGGGCTGCTCCCTGTGCGAGTAAGCCGCGAGGAGCATCCGCTCCCCCATGGATGCTGTGGCCGCAAGGAGAACCCCCAGCAGTCACTCCCGGCCCCCTCACCACCTCTGGGCTCTTGTGCGTCCTCAGCAGAGCTGGAGTCTGATTTTGACTTTAAAGATCACAAGGCTCTCTTGGGTCTTGGTTCCACTGGGGCTTCCCTCCCTGGAGTCTGGGTAGGGGTTTCTCCCCTTTTACAGGTGAGGCCGGCTCTCAGCTGGTCGGTCTGAGGAGCAGGTCCCAGGTAGTTGTTGCACAGGGGCCTGATGGGATTTGGGGCAGAGGGAAAGGACCCCACTGGAGGCACAGAAAGCCCCCAGAGCTGTCCTTCCCACAGCTGAAGCAGGAGCAGCCAGGCCCAGGCTTCTTGGTCAAAGGAAAGAGACCCCGGAGGGTCTACAGTGGGGAGATGCAGACCAAACCATGAGTCTCGAGCAGAGGCTGAGTGCACGGGGGTCTCGGGAGACACTGCCTCCTTTGTGGCCGAGGTGTGGGGAGGTGAGCTTGGTTCCCCCAAAGGTCGGCTGTCTCCACTTCCACCCGCGGGCCTTACGCTCTGTTTACAGTGACCCATCCTGGGCCCTTCCCCGAGAGGGGCTGGGGCTTCTGTGCTCTATCCCCCCCACCCCGAGTCAATGGTTACCTGATGATTTGACTTCAATCTTTTTATCCTGTGTAAACTTCTAATCTGGCTTTTCCCATTTCAATTCTTGTGATGTATGCCAATAAAGTTTGCCATTATTTTCAACCTGTGTAAGTGCCATTTCTTGGGGCCCCAGCAGAGACCAAACCCTCCCCAGAGCCAAGGACCACCAGATTGCCGGTAAATAATTGACATTCCCTTATCTGAAGCCAGAAGCCCTGGGGATGTCACAGGTCTTTCCTGGCCCCTGTGAGAGTTTTGCTGTCTCCTGGGAAGATGGTGACAGGAGGCTGGGGAGCAGTTATAGGAGCAGGCCCCACCCATAGGTGCTTTCACTAGGTTCCCTGAGGGCATCTTTACCTAGACCTGCGAGTGACCAGCTGAAAGAATTCCCAAGAGAGCTGACAAGCACAGGCAGCCTGCTGTGCGAGAGCAGAGCCAGGACCAGGCTGTGATCCCAGACCTCGGCTCTGCACACTCCCTGTGTGCAGCTAACATGCCCACCCCTGGCCTGGAGGACCCTCGACAGGAGCCGCTGGCGAGTGGAAGGTGCGGTCTCACAGTTGGGGTGGGTCTCTACTGCCTCCTGGTGGTCATGTCCTGGTGGTGCGTGTCTCCCCTTTGTTATATTGTCATATTCAAAGCCCCTGGATCTGGCTGTACAGCTGTGTTCCACATCAAGCCGGGACCTCAGTTTCCTCTCGTCTGGAAGGCTCCGCAAGAGGAGCACGTTGAGTGGGAATCTGAACCCTGGCCTCTTCACAGTGAGCTTAGAAGTGAAAACGACCTTTGATTCAACCAAAGATAATGACTTGGTTAAGTCTATGTTGGATTCAATTTTTTTTAATCCTTCCTCCTGGAGGTTTTTTTTTTTTTTTTTTTTAAGATTTATTTATTCATTTGAAAGGCAGAGTTACAGAGAGAAACAGAAAGAAAGTAAGAAAGTCTTCCATCTGCTGGTTTACTCCCCAAATGGCTACAATGGCTGGAGCTGGGCTGATCCAAAGCCAGGAGCCAGGAGCTTCTTCCAGGTCTCCCACGTGGGTGCAGGGGCCCAAGGTCTTGGGCCATCTGCTGCTGCTTTCCCAGGCCATGGCAGAGAGCTGTATTGGAAGTGTAACAGCCGGGTCTCGAACCAGTGCCCATATGGGATGCTGGCACTGCAGGTGGCAGCTTTACCCGCTATACCACAGCGGTGGCCCCTGGATTCAGTAGGTTTATGCTACACTTGTAAATGTGCTTTTTCACACCACTGTGTTCTATGGATATTTTCCCATGTCACTGAATATGTATCTGTGTCATTTTCAAATAACTTCATGATAAACTGTTACATTGGTGTTACCATTGGAGATGTTACTTATTTGTTTCATCAAAGCCAGGATGTCCTTGGAAAGGAACAGACTTGGAGAAGCACTTTGAGAAGGAGATAGAGTTTGAAAGGGATCCTGTAATCCTAGATTGCATTTCTGAAACCAGTATCTGCTGGGTGAGAATTGGGCGAATCATTCAACCCCTCTCTGAATTTTTCCATGGATAAGACAGGAATAGTGATACCGTACCTCCTCAGAGGTGCAGAAATTAACATTGGGGAGTGTTGGCCGGCGCCGCGGCTCACTAGGCTAATCCTCTGCCTTGCGGCACTGGCACACCGGGTTCTAGTCCCGGTTGGGGTGCCGGGTTCTGTCCCGGTTGCCCCTCTTCCAGGCCAGCTCTCTGCTGTGGCCAGGGAGGGCAGTGGAGGATGGCCCAAGTGCTTGGGCCCTGCACCCCATGGGAGACCAGGAAAAGCACCTGGTTCCTGGCTCCTGCCTTCGGATAGGCACGGTGCGTTGGCTGCAGCGCACCGGCCACGGCGGCCATTGGAGGGTGAACCAATGGCGAAAGGAAGACCTTTCTTTCTCTCTCTCTCTCTCTCTCTCTCTCTCTCACTGTCCACTCTGCCTGTCAAAAAAGAAGAAGAAAAAAGAAAAAAAATAAGACCTGGTGAAGGAGCCAAAGTACTTGCACCATGCTGAGCGTGCAGTAATCCACTGTTACTAGAAGAGGATCTCCGCAGTAATGGACTCCTGCTTCAGGGCAGGAGGAGCCTTTAGAACAAAATACAGATTTCTGTAGATTCTGAACCAGGAGGGCTGGAGTAGCGCACCGCGCTGATCCGATGGCAGGAGCCAGGAGCCAGGTGCTTTTCCTGGTCTCCCATGGGGTGCAGGGCCCAAGGACTTGGGCCATCCTCCACTGCACTCCCGGGCCACAGCAGAGAGCTGGACTGGGAGAGGAGCAACCGGGACAGGATCCAGCGCCCCGACCGAGACTAGAACCCGGTGTGCCGGCGCCGCAAGGTGGAGGATTAGCCTAGTGAGCCGTGGCGCCCGCCATCCTAGGGCGAATTTTTAAAGATCCAGCTCCCTATCATGTGCCTGGGAAAGCAGCAGAGGATGGCCCAAGCACTTGGGCCCCTGCATCCACGTGGGAAACCCTGATGAAGTTTCTGGCTCCTGGCTCTGGCAGTTGCAGCCATTTGGGGGGGTGTGAACCAGTGGATGGAAAATCTCTCTCTCTGTCCTCTCTCTCTAATGCTGCCTTTGAAATAAATAAATCTTAAAAAAAATATTGAGAGAGAGAGGCTGGTTTACTCCCCATATGGGTGCAACCTGGTCCAGGGGCAGGCCAAAGCCAGGAGCCTGGAACTCTGTCCAGTTAGGGACCCAAGCACTCAGGCCATCTTGTGTAGAGCTGGACAGGAAGCAGAGCAGCTGGGTCTTGAACTGGCACTCGGATATGGGATGCCAGCATCGCAGGTGGCAGCAGCTTAACCTGCTATGCAACGCTGGCACCCCTGAGGGTGGTTTTGACAGGTTTGGGAATAAGTCTTGCTAACCTTGACTTAAGAAGCTGGCTTCACTGGGGCTGGCGCTGTGGCATAGTGGCTTAACATCCTGGCCTGAAGTGCCAGCATCCCATGTGGTCGCCAGTTCGAGACCCGGCTGTTACACTTCTGATCCAGCTCTCTGCTAGGAAAAGCAGTAGAAGATGGCCCAAGTCCTTGGGTCCCTGCACCCGCGTGGGAGACCCGGAAGAAGCTTCTGGCTCCTGGCTTCAGATTGGCCCAGCTCCAGCCGTTGTGGCCAATTGGGGAGTGAACCAACAGATGGAAAACCTCTCTCTGCCTATATATAATAAGTAAATAAATATTTGTTTATTATAAATAAATAATTTTTTTTTTTACAAAAAGCTGGCTTCATGAATATCTCCAAAGAGGTACAAAACAAGACTCAGGACAGGAATATTAGGCCTCCACCCTTAGACTAGCTTTGTTAGACGAGAGTTTAGAGAAATTGAACGTGGGGCCCGCCCATGCAGCCCCACAGCATGTTCATCGCATGTGGCCCAGATAAACTTACTGGAAACTTCAACTCTGTCAAGCGAGAAGGCTGCCAGGGGAGGGAACAAGCGATCCATGCAAAAGCCCTGGAAAAGCAGCAAAGGGCACCGTCTGGCTGGAAGGAATGAGTTAGGAAGGCGGGAGATGAGACCGTGGCGTGGAGCGGGGAGCAGAGGGTGTCCTTATTAGCTGTTCCCGTTTACTCCGGGTTTCTGGAATTGGGGAGCCCGCGAGTTCTGAGCACACAAGGAAATGCCCCGACTTAGGTCTCACAGGATCAACACACCGCAGGAGACGAGAGACCGCGCTGTTTTCAAGGCGGGCGCGGTTATTCCTTAGCCCCACGTCGTACGTGGCTGAGGTGGCCAGGTCGGCTCTAGCTCCCTCCCACACGAAGTCCGCCCCAGCCCGACAGGAGGCAGCATCCCCGAGAAAGCGCCTCCAACCCAGACGGGCGCCTGTCTTAGCTATACTCACCTCAAAGGCGGCTTCCTGTTGGTTGGAGTGGCAGCAATATCAACCAATGGCTGCCTATATCAGCCCGGCTGTGCCGGGCCGCCGACAGCGGCGCCCAATAGGCAGGGGCGCTGTCCGCGGCTTCTCGACCGCATATAAAAAGCGCACGCCGGCGCGCGGCCCTTCTCTTGCCAGGCGTCCTCGTGAGAGGTTCGTGCGGGCCGTGGAAGTCGGGGGCGGGAAAAACTAGAGGGTTTTAGGGAAATTTTGGGGGTTGGGGAGGGCGGACCGCAGGGGTCCTGTCGTGGCTCGCTTCGGGCCTGGGCGGCGGCGGCGGCGGCCGCCGCCTCAGCCCTGGCGGACGGGAGCTCGCTCGTGGCCTGGTCCGCGCTGGGCCCTGGACGGGTAACGCCTGTCGGGGACACCGGGACTGAGCGCCCTCTCTCCCCTCAGTGACATCGTCTTTAAACCCCACGTGGCAATCCCTGACGCACCGTCGTGATGCCCAGGGAAGACAGGGCGACCTGGAAGTCCAACTACTTCCTTAAGATCATCGTAAGTTAGGGGGGCGCGGCAGCTGGGGCCTTGGGCTCTAGGAGGGGCGATCGGGTGCCGGGTGCCTGCCTGATGCCAATTACCGACGCGGCGACCTTGGGGCCAGCCTCGCTTGATCCTAACAGTTGGACCTGTTGCAGAGGAGCAGGTTCAGGCGGCTGCTCCTCCCTCGGGTCTGTCGGGCTCCCAAGGTACTGCGCGCGATGCTTCTGCAGCTTTGGTCTCCGTTGGGAGCGTCTGGGGCAAGGAGTGACTCACTGTGAGGAGGCAGGTTGCTGCCTCTTCAGCACCTGTCATCAGCAGCTTTGGGTGCTGCTCTTCGGGCACCTGGCTGCGGCCCAGAGCTTAGTCTGCATTGCATTTGCTCACGTCTGTCGTATGTTGTTCTAGACACAGCACAGAAGAGTCATACAGTAACCCAGATTATCTTGCCGTGTTTGCTGAATGTGTGTTGTAAACATAGCCAGTGCTTTGGGTCATTCAAAAGTAGTGAATCGGAGCCGAGCCTCATAATAGGGGAAATCAAAAAGTAAAAAGCAAGTTAAAATTTTTCTGAGTGTAGAGTTCTGATTTCCCTTCGTTCAGTCATGACAGCATCTAGCAGGGGTACGATCCAGTGGGGAGGTCTGTCCCAGGGGTCTAAAAGGCAGAGAGGGAGTAAAGTGGTTCTCCTGATTCCACCTCTCCTCCTTTCTTCCTGCTAAACTTCGTT